TTTTTAAACTCTCATCATCTAATAATGATTTTAATTTTTTAAAACTAAATAAGAATCCAAAAATATTTTCATATGATTTAACAAATTTAAAAAGAGAAAGATGGTTGAATTTTTTGTGATATAAATTTAATCGGGTCAATAAAAACTAAATTTTTTTGGGTCATATATAACATTAATTTTCAAAGACCAAAACATTATTTGTATCCCCTCTTTTTTGGGGCCTTATGAAAACATTTAAGTTGTCAGCCTATTGGGCTGGCCCGGCAGGTGAAGCGATTTAGTATCGAATCTTAGCAATTCGTTTAAAAAAATATTTTATTTATATTCAAGTGAAAATTAAGGGTGAGTCCCTTTAAATAGACTGATAATGACTTGAGTCCTGAAAGGAAACTTATTTGAAGGTAAATTCATATTTAAATTTATATATAGGTACTTAAGTCCACTTGTTTTTTAAATCTCAAAATTACTCCTAACGGTGTTAGTTTTGACCAATTATAAAAAGTCACATATGTTAGAACATTGAGATATATATAAAAACTCTTGATTGAGTTATATATGAAAAATGTTTATTAAATATTATGAAAAGTTTCTCATTTATATGCAAGTTTTATATTTTGTTAGGTATATATAAGAAACTTAATGTACAAATAAATTGTTGGTCTATTACCTCAAAATCAGATCACAAAATTTCTTTAACAACAGTAATGGATAATATAGGGAGGTTGAATAATACCAACAGAGTTTATTAACACGAATGTTAATATATAGTAACATTTGTGCTACTATATGATTGAAGTTATAATTACGATCGTGTTATCAGTATAGTCGTGTTATTATATTGACACTAATGTTACTATAGTGAATTTTAACATATAATTGCAAACTTTGAGACGTATATTATATAACATACACTTTAATATTCACAGTAACTTTAAAGCTTTGTGCTCAGTAATATATCTAATTTTACAAAATATAAGACAATAGTTTTTTTACAGTAACGTTAACTTTCGAATGATTTTAGTAAAAATACGATTCACAAATTGAAAATTTACAAAATGATGAGTAGTAACACATAATCGACAGTTAAAACATCAAAATTTTAAACTCCATTTTTCGGTTCATGTACAATAATATGAACTTTTTCTACAGTAATACAACCAAAGACTACTTGATTGTCTTGCACAACAAAAAAATCAACAAAATCGAAATCTATAACACTTAAATTTAGTACTAATGTATGAATTTTCTTGAATCTTGGTTATAAAGTTAATGCCCACTTTGACAGAATTAAATTTATAATTGTTATTACTTTTTATTATGTTACTATTTTTTTGTGAGCATGTTATTAATTTTTTAGTGACTATATTACTGTTTTTGTTGAGTATGTTGTTTTTTTTTAAATATTAATATTTTGTCAATGAAGTCCAAAGTAAACTGGAATATTAAATTAACATTGTATTTTATGAAATGTAATAGATTTGAAATTTGAATATAAACGATTTTTTGTAAATGTCGATTTCTTGTTTTTTAGATAAGAAAACATCGTGGCTTGGAAGATTGTAGCCGGAATTGAAAGCGATTACGAAGAATATGTATATGGCTGATTATTGTGTCCATAAACGTTGTTTATAACATTCTTACAGGGAAGAGTTATAATAGTAAAATTGAAAAAGAATGACTTAAAACCAAATTAGTTTGTTGGACGGACTTATTTCCAAATATGTCCATATAGGGGGACCGACTTCTAAATTTTTCTATATTCAATTTATTTATTAATTCATATTTAACGAATCGTATCATATCGAGTTCGTGTCGTGTTTGAACTGTGTATAATCAATATATACACGAGCTATGTTATATATTTCCTTTAATTGACTTCATTCATATTCAATTCATTTATTAATCGTGTCGTGTCGAATTCACTCGTTTATGAAACGGGTGACTTAAGAAAAATTAAAACCCTATACTTTCTTGTCCTATTAACGAATCATATCATATTTTAACATGCTCAGATAAGACCCCAGGGGCCTAGTCGACCGCATCCTAAGCTTAACTAATTCTAGTTTTCGTACAGTTGACGTTCAACCGATTTTGACACTTACCTAACCTAAGTGTGGATTAAAGGTGAGCCCCAATGTAAACTCTCTTTATGTCTCTCTAGATTGGTCCATTCAATTTTTAAGTCTTTAGATTAATTCTTATTCTCCGTTTTAAAGTTTTCAAATTGGAGACTTATATACATTATTCAGAGTTTTTATCATAATTCATATCGCAAGAACATAATAATAGGGTAAACACAATTAAATATATTTAAGTTTGATTTAAAAAAAATACATACCCAATGTCAAGTTAAAAAAATTGAGGATGGGCATGGGCTCCCCTAGTCCAATGGTAGCTCAGCCAATGCCATCAAGTTTTTTCCAAAATTGATAGGGTAGGACTAGACTGTTAATTTGTCAGGTGAGATGAGTTCGTGTTAGATTTTAACGGATTTGTATAAAAAAAATTCTATTCATACTCAATTCGTTTATTAATTTATATTTAACGTATCGTATTATATTGAGTTCGTATTGTGTATAACCAATATATATACGAATCGTGTTGTATATTTTTTTTTTACTAACTTCACATCTACCTAATTCATTTTATTAATCGTGTCGTATAAGATCTACTAACTTACGAAAACGAGTGATTTGAAAAAGATTCAAATATTATAATTCCGTGTCGTGTTAACGAATCGTGTTATATTTTGACATCTCTACCTAACCTAAGTGTGGATTAAGGCTAAGCCCTAATGTAAACTCTCTATATGAGTCTCTAGATTGGTCCATTCAATTTTGAAGTCTTTGGATTAATTCTTCTTCCTTGTTTTAAAGTTTTCAAATCTAAGACTTGCATCCATTCTTTGGAAAAGACTTAATATTATCTATCCTAAAATAGCACAAAGTAACACGCATTTTTGCTTACAAAGTAACACGTATTTATACTTTTTTATAACAAAATTTCTATTTAATGTTGAAAAAAATTACTTAAAATGTGTAACTAAATATTACCTTATACAATGCGACCGTGTTGTTTTTCAAGCGCTTAGTTTTTTATTGTAGTGAAAATTTTAAAAGTTTTTCAAAACACACAAGCAACTATATAATTTTATTTTGGGTAAAACACGATTACATGACTTGAAACTAGCACGCAGTTGTTCGATTAGGGATGATTATGTTTCGGCATAAACACGAAATGAAGTGACTTGTTAATATGAATAATAAACGGGTGAGTTAGTGTTAAATACAAATAATTTAAAATTAAAATAATTAACATGTTTAACCAGTATTTTTGTGAATAAAATATTAAATTTTATCATTTTCTATCAAGTACTCACACAAATGATCGTAAAATAAGACGATTTTTTTTTAACTTGGTTTTACTGTTATTTAGATTTAGTGACTTTTTAGTTTGTGAGAGAAAATAGCGTTTTAATTTTAATTTTATATTTTTAATTCGAATGTTATATGAATCAATTCAAATACGATATCCTTATATACGATATATTAAATGGGTGAAATTAGAGTTGATTTTACTCAACACGAACTCGAACTAACCCGACTTAAAGCACCAATTGTCATTCCTAATTTTGTAAATATTTATCAAATTTAATTATAAAAAAAATTCCGAATTTATTAGATTTCATCGGATCCGGGCCATGAAGTGAAGCTAATCCAACCCGTTGACTGAAAAAGCTCAGTTTCAGAAGAGGACAAAATTTAAGGGGCAATTGCCTGCTTTTTATCTTTTTTTTTTTAAAAAGAAATCTGCAAGTCAGGTGATCCAAAATCCATTATTCATTCGGTGAATCTCTCTCTCTCTCTCTCTCCCCTTTGTTCCATTCTCACGTCACACACATCCACTTTTTGTCTTTTCTTGCTTCACAATCTTTTGTGTCTCTCTGTCTCTCATCCCCTTGTCTCTGACTCTCTCCCCAGAAGTTTTCCTGGGAATTTGGTTATCTGGGTACAAGTTTACTTTTGTTCTTTTCGGAATGTGGGTACAATTTCACTTACTCAGATTATAAGGTACAATTACGCCTAACAACGTGAATTCTTGTTTCTTGATGGGAATGAGTGTTTTTTTCTTTGGGTTGACCCAGGATTGATATTGGTTATCCCTTACTAGTCTGAGAATTTTTGAACAGATAACAGTTCTTCTTATGTCTTTCTTTTGGAAATTATGAAGATTTTGTTCAGGTGGATCTCTGGCGAAAGTTGTGTTGACTTAATTTTATACTTAATCTCATAAATCTAATGTCTTGGGTTTTGATTCTATATTGCTTGTTAGAGATTCCATTCTTGTGGGTTTTCTTTGAAAAGTTGATCAAAGTTGTATTATATGAGAAATATATCCATGGCGTTGCTGCATTATGCGTAGGACTTGTGAACTGGGAGAGTGTAATGGGTCTTATTGATTTACTGAATCTGATGGGTTTTCCTTTGCCTATCTCTGATCTGAATAATGCGAGGACCTACAATTCTAGTTTTTCAAGTTTTCTTAAATGTTGATTTGCATGCCTTGCTTTGATCTTTCTCCTCTTGTTACTTGTCTTGTCCTCACTTTTTATACAAATTGTTCATTATTACTTGCATTTTACTGGAAGATTTTGTTTGTTTTGCTCATCATATGAATTGGACATGTGAACCAGTTTAGATGTCTCTGTGTTTATTGATTTTAGTGAGTGATATTCATTTTCATTTTTTTTTCCATACGAATATTCATTTCAATTTTTAATTGGGACACGGAGTCATTTTCAGTATTTGATTTTGTGTTAGATTTTCTGCAAAAAATAGAACGCCTACAACTGACATATTTTTCATGCAGATTGAGTTCTAAATAAAGCTCGCATTCTTTGCTGTTTTCTCCTGGAAAATGTTATGTCATGAAAATTCGATGCCTATAATGGCTGTGGCATATGCTTTGTGCTGGTTGATAAGAAGAGTTTAATGAAATGAATTTGTTTGGTTTGTAGCTCCTTCAAAGAAAAAAAAGATTTATTTTGGGTTTGGAAAGTTTTGGAGTTTGTTGTATGAAAAGCCAATTATGATTGAGAGGAAAAACATGGGACGGGCGTCACTGCTATTACTGCTTCTTTTGGCTTTAGGGTCTTTCTTTGCAACTTATAATATGGTAACAATGATTATACACAATAGAAGTGTGAGCTGGAGAAAATGGGTCACTAAGAATTCAGACGGTCGTTTAACATCTGATCCTATAATTGAGATGCCTCACAATTTGAAGAGACCAAACAATGCCAAGATGCTGTTTCATGTTGCCCTAACAGCAACTGATGCTCCATATAGCAAATGGCAGTGTCGCATTATGTATTATTGGTATAAGAAGAAGAAGGATTTGCCTGGATCAGAGATGGGAAAATTTACTCGTATTCTGCATTCAGGAAGTCCTGACAATCTGATGGAGGAGATTCCTACTTTTGTGGTTGACCCCCTTCCAGCAGGTCTGGATCGGGTAAGAGGCCTTCTTTCTGTTATTACCTTTTCTGATTTCTTAGACTCTGCTTTCTTATGTGGTTATATGTGTTGTCAGTCAGAAAGTCTTTGAATAGCTTATCAAATGATGGGCAATTTTTTGTTGCTAAAATCCTGTCCCTTTTTCTTTTCAGCTTTTATATTGATCCTTAAAAATTACAAAGTTTTACCATTTTTGTTCAAGTTTGGTTGAGAATTTACTTAAAAAATAAGCAGATTGAGAAAAATTTTAGAAAAAAATTCATGAACCAGTAGTTATTTGGGAACAGAACGCAGCCTACATAAGACAGTGGTCACCTTCTCGGAACAGTTTGTATTGATTTGAAACAAAAGGAGGTGCCTAGGACATACTATACCACTTTTTCATCGTCAATTGTACACCAAACTAGGTCCTGCGCTGCATTACAGGTGGCTCCCCCCGGTGGTTTACTTCATTAATACTTATGAGATGTACTCAATATTGGGTTTTGTATCTAAGACTTATTTACAATTCCAGAGCTTTCTAGCAAATTGAAGCTTTAAAATTACAGATTTTTTCCTTTTAGGTTTTGCATTGAACTTCTGCGAACTAAAAAGTTTGCAGGCCACCTCTCAATTCATAAAGTGATAATTGTTACCCACTTATTTTCAACTATTTATTTTTTTACTTTCTTGACTTGATTTGTTGTATGCTATATCCAGGGTTACGTTGTTTTAAATAGGCCATGGGCCTTTGTGCAATGGCTGGAGAAGGCTACAATTGAGGAAGAGTGAGTTTTCTTGTGTGATGTCAAATTGGGCTGTCTTTTACATTCACAAAACATTAAACCCTCTTTAATCTGCTACTGGTGCAGGTACATATTGATGGCAGAGCCCGATCACATATTTATAAAACCACTACCTAATTTGGCGCATGGGGGATATCCTGCTGGCTTCCCCTTTTTCTACATCAAACCTGCTGATAATGAAAAGATCATAAGGAAATTTTACCCCAAGGAGAATGGTCCTGTCACAAATGTTGATCCAATTGGAAATTCTCCTGTTATTATAAAGAAGGTGGATCGGTGGATCTTTGACACTGTTTTGCTTCCTAAGAATTGGTTTGATTCAATTAGGAATGACAGCAATTTAGTTTTTACAATATTTATTCTATTCAATATTTTGGATTAATATTAATTTACCATATGAACTTCTGAAATATTCTTATTTCTTGCATCTGTATGCCCTCTTGAGTTCTTTGCTATTATAGAGTGAAATCACATCTGGATTGCCTGAATTGTATTCAGGAACTCCTAGAGAAAATTGCACCTACATGGATGAATGTTTCTTTGAGGATGAAAGAGGATCCAGAGACTGATAAAACTTTTGGATGGGTGCTGGAAATGTAAGTGGAACTGTAGGCAAAGCGATTTACTCCTTATGAGTTGATGTGTGCTGGTTTAGGAATGATGATACTATGATATTTTGGTTTTCTTTTGTTGAACTAAGGTATGCGTATGCTGTGGCGTCTGCTGTGCATGGTGTGCAGCATATTCTTCGGAAAGATTTTATGTTACAGGTTCTTAATTTAATTTCTTGAGTGCCTCATTTTATAATTTCTAATGCCTAGTAGATTCTAATGAATTACAATTATAATTTTAATGTGCACATAGAAATTGTTCTAAAGAGTTCTTGCCATGTTATTTTTTCAGCCTCCATGGGATCTGGAAACTGGGAAAAGGTTTATCATTCATTTCACTTATGGATGCGACTACAACTTGAAGGTAAATTTATTCTTCGAGTCCCATCTTTTGGTTTTGAAATGTTGATGATACAACTATAACTATGGACTTTATTTTTCTTCATTTTGTTTGCATTTATTTTTGGGTTCCTGAATTTTTTTTTTTTTATCTTGTCCTTTGATTTGGATGAGGCTTTGAGCTCTACTTGTTTTATGAAAACAAATAATCTCTTTAATTTTCAGGGTGAGCTAACATATGGGAAAATTGGAGAGTGGCGATTTGACAAGAGATCTTATCTCCGTGGACCTCCTCCTAGAAACCTCTCTTTGCCCCCTCCAGGGGTTCCTGAAAGTGTGGTATGTGTGTGTTAATTTCTTCTTGATACAATTGGATTTTGCTTCTTGGAAATAATCTTATCATCTATCCATGCTCTTGTTTTACTGTATACTTTTCTGGGCCTCCAGCTTACTTCTGGTTCAATTAATTGTCCATTATTAATGCTATGAATCTTTATAAAAACATGGCAAGGCTTGATGGCGTATACCATCAACATTTTCACAATTTGTGCTAACTTTCTGTCTACTAGCTTCTTCACTAGTTTCTTCCATTTCTGTGACCAAGTTGTGGGAACGAGTGCCTCATGAGGCTCATGAAAAATTTCTCTTTGTTAGTAGCTGTAATTATGTAGCCTGCTCTTTATGAAGTCCATCATAAATCTTTCTGCTTATATTTCCAACTTTCCTTTCGTCAAGTTGTTGTTCAAAGTTTGGCTGCAATGTAATGGAAAGAATTTAGACAAGGATTTTTCTAATGACATGACAGAAAATCAAAAAGGAGAAATCCATGCTATGCCCATTTTACTTTTGAGATGGCATGGCCACTTATGTCCTCAGTATTTATATTAATTCAAACATGTCTTAGGGTGGGGGAAAATGTCCATTTCTTTCTCATTGTAGGAGAAAATATTCAATTCACACTGCCATAAAATTTGTATTGTGATATTAAAAAGACACTAGAATTGATTTGTGAAATATGAACCTTTACTTTAAGTTAGAACACCTGTTAGAGGAGGTAATTAGAAAATGTTCGCAATTGGGCATCTGAAAACTCATTATTTAATTAAAATTACAATTAATATATTTCTCAAAATATTTAGTTGAATAATTTTTTATAAGTACTATTTGATTTAAAACACTATTAAAGATGCAGTACGTAGAAATGAACAATGTACAACAAAACAGCCAACAAAATAAATTCACATCAAAAAGCTCCTATACTATCAATACTATAAAATTATTCCCAAGTAAGGGTGTAATTTGGTAAGGTTAATCAAAATCCAACCCAACAAATTTAATAATTGAATAGAGAATTTTTTTTCTTGCCTTGGGTTTGGGCCAAAAAGTCTCATCCCAATTTAAATTCGGCCAATATTCGAAATGGATAGTTGATTAGGGGGTTCAACGTGCAGTAGACATACTGTATAATGTATTGCTAGAGTTCATCTGCTCCACTTAGTGTGGGCAATTCATTACAGTCTGCAATCCTCCTTCATCTTTTACAAGAAAGAAAAAAGAACATTTTGTTGCATTCTTTCTTCTCTTTTTCTTATTTTCCTCCTCCATTTCCTTATAACGCCACCATATCTCCCCTTTGTTCTTGACTCTTTCCTCCTTTTTCTCTTTTCCTCTCTCCCTGTCCTCTTTCTAACCGCCTTCCTCTTCTATTCTCGCACGCCACCCTGTCACTTTTCTTCTTGCTTCTCATTTTGTCTTTTCCTATTACTTCTCTCTCTTTCACAATACCGGTAGGAAACCCAAGTGTATATCTTATTTTATATTGTTAAGAGTTATAGTTTTGAAAATTGGTCGTTATGGTGCTTAATGGCTGTTACCTAACAGTATTGGTGGCTTCCAACACCATTACACCCCGATTTAACAGTGATAAATTTTTTCACATGTTACGGCTATTCCAGTAACATAATGGCCTACAACGGGCGTCATGGTGTCATTACATGCCATTACACTACTGTAACGGTCTACTCATACCTTCTACTGCTTGTCCATGGCGTCTTGTTTAAATGGAGGAGATGACTGGCGCACAAATTCCAAGCTTGAGAAATGGCAAGATAAACAACATAGGGCAGGGGTTGGCAGACTACTTTGGATATGGTGGGAATCAGGTGTAACATTTTACTCTACACCATATGGATAAAGTGATGTTTGTTTCATTATGTATCAATTGGTTGATTAAATCAGTGACAAGTGTCCTTAGTTTTTACCTTGTGAAGGACTGGATCCGACAAAACAAAAAGTCTGATGGAAATGGAATGGAGTAGGTTTCTATCAATTTAGAAAGAAATAAAAGCCTTAAATCACTAAACATACTTAGTTCACAAGTGTTATGGATTTATTTTCACTTGAGAGAAAGACATTGGTATATTTGTTTTGCGTGAAGGAATCAAAAACCCTTATCATCGGGAGACATTAAAAAGTGCAGACAGTGGACAATGCAAACAAGTTATTATGAAAGAAATTTGAGGTTGGCTTTTGGTGTATTAAATTGAGGGCCATGATCTAGGATTCTGTTTTCTGCCTCCCTCCCCTTCCCTTTTATCCCCCCCCCCCCCAAAAAAAAAAAAAAAATTAAAAAACCCTCCTTCATGTTCCTTACCATCAAAAGTCGCAGGGTTAGACTGCAAGAACTTCAATGTCCTCCTAGCCCCTAAGTGCCACCTTCATAGCATGTGTCCAGCAGTTGTTGTAGTCATTCAACTTGGTGATTGTGATTTCTACATTAACAGAAATTGATTCAATCTTCACCATGTTATAAACAATCATAGCACCAAATTAACAAAACACACAATTAGCACCAAGAATTCACCAACAAATACCATAATTGCAAGTCCGTACACAAGAAAGACCACATTCTTCCAAATCAGTTGTTTACACTGAATGGATGCACTATAACAAGATTTGTGCATGCGAATGGCCATAGAATTTCAGAGATTCACATAAAAACTAAGCACCAAAAAGGGGTTTTCACTAATCAAATTATTCAAAATTGAAAGCCCTTTTAATTATAAAATAAACTAAGAAAATCAGGAACAATTTTTTGAGGCACCTAGGGTTGTGAATTTACCCTTGCGTCCAGTGTTTGGGGAGAAATTTTTTTTTTTTTTTTGAAGAGGAAAGAATAAGGATTGGCTATAGGGCTGGAGTTTTAGGTCTAGAGTGGGGTTTTGAGTGTGTACTCATACCATGCTCAGATTATAAAGGTGAGAGAAAGATAAAGAAGAAGAAAAAAATGGCCTTGGTACCCTGGAATGGGTGGTGTCTGGTGTTTCTGGCTTGGTGGTGGCTCGGTGGAGAACTTGGATAGATGGTGGTTGTGGGAGGAACTTGTAGGGGTCAGGGTTATGTGCACTTTGCCTTTGGTCTATTGGGAGGGACTTTAACATTGTAAGGTTCCTGGGGGTTTTTGAGAGTCATGAGGGAGTTCTCCAACTTTATTGATGGATAGAGCGTGAAATGAAGTTTTTTGTCTCCCTTAGAGGGGCGTAGCTACATTATGTCTAACAAATGGAGGCTTCTACCTTGGTGCGGTCGTATCTCTAGATCATTTCCTTATTGTGCTGAATGGTACCTAGACCTGTTTGGATCACTGTCACCATCTTAGTGTGTTGTTGTCCTTCGTGGTAAAAAGCCCCTTTCAGTTTTGAGAATGGGTCTTAAAGAACCAGGATGTGTAGAGATGTTGCAACAGTGGGGAAAGTTAACAGAGTGAAAAGACTGATAGGTTTTCCCCTTGCTTATTGCTCAAAATGTTGAAGGAGGATTTGAAGCAGTGGGACAAGGAGGTTTTGGCCTTGTGGAATTGAAAGAACTTGGGTCCTTGTGGGAATTAAGCAGATTAATGCAAAAGAAGAAAAAGTGAATTTTTTTTCCTATCCAAAAAAAATAGAAGCAGGAGTGCTTCCTGAAGAGGAGAAGTAAAAAA